CTGTTTTTTCAACTTTCTATATTTTAACTTTTTTTGGGGTCCACTTACGCATGTTAAGAGAGGAGGTCCATTTCCCTTGGTACAACTTTTGTTCCTCTCATTGGCTGAAGTTGTTATTTAATCACAAGGAGTTTTATAATAAAGTACAGAAATAATAAGGTAAATCTGTCCCAACATATTACTAATTACTTTTGCTAAATTTCAGAATATCATGTATTTAGATGGCATTTTAAATGCACCAAATTGTTTAAGATTTCAACATTATGGGATATCTAAGACAGGATCTTTAAGTTTGTAACTATAAAAAATTTCTCAAAATTTGTAAATAATGTTGTAATATGCAGAAGAATTAAGATCCGCTATATTATAACTTTATGAGATTTACAAGTGTTATTTTAAGCACATGGGAAATTTTATTTGTTAGACAATTTAAGTACTTAAAAAGAAAATTGAATACATTAAATTTATAAGTGCAGTTTAAAATATTTAAGTGATTTAATTAACTAGGTTGTAAAAAAAAAAACCTTTAAGAGATTGCCAAAGTTGCTAGGTTTAGTAAAAGAGTAATTAGATTTGTAAAATGAATTCAAAGACTTAAGAAAGAACTCGGGTTTCAAATTTGTAATTTTAATAAATCAGATATTAATATTCAAAATGAAAGTAGCCCTTAAATAATATTTCTAAGCATTAAAACTACACTCACGATACCAAAAAGTACACACAGATTTCATGTCACTACCCACAGCATCAAGTTCCTCATTTATTATGAAATGGCTGGATTACTGAACTTCTAAAATCCCTGCCAGGTCCTTTTAAGCTTCTGCAGATCCTTCTCTGGTCTCCTGGGCAATGTATTAGTTTATTTATTGTTCATCATACATTATAGCATTTTACCCAGGGTGACCAGGTCTAACTTCAATTCTTATCACAGAACAGAGGTCATGACCTAAAGCAGACTGTTTGCCACTTCTGTTATCTCTCCTCCCCCTTAGAAGCAGACTCCCCAGCATCTGCAGGCTGGTAGCCCCCAGGAGGAATGAAACGGTGTTTCTTCCTGCTAGTAGAGACTGCATCTCTGCAAGATGTGCTTGTAACAATACTCAGTCCCCATGTTTGGGCCTACAACACCAACAGGTATATGTGAACAACATTCAAAGGGCAGGATGGATGCACATCTTCCAGGGCTAGAATGGAATTGCTATTATTACATGTTACGATCCATTAATGGCCCTGTATATTGGATTTTTTCACCTTCTCCAGGTGATGAATGGGTTCTCCACCACTGCACAGCTCCAGCTTTGCTTCTGCTCATGGACCCTTTCCAGATGCAACCCTGAGCATTCCTCTTTCATCAGAATGTAGCACAAAAGCAGGACATTCAGAAAGTAAGTAACACAAAAGTATGACCACAAACCCAGAGATAGGCAGCTCTAGAATGAAAACGTCCCAGTCACCTACGGGAACAATAGAATATGAAACATGACAACACATAGCCTTCATGGAGTGTCCGTTCTTTAACCAGCTCACCCATCAATGCTACTATAAGTATGATCACTGTAACTTTCTGCTAACTTCCAGGTGGCTACCTCACCATGTCAACAATAGTGTAGTCTCCACCTAGGAATACTAGACTCAGCACCATGCCCTCTCCCACTCAAAACACAGTGTCACACACAGCAATCCCCAGCACAGGAATCTCATTTGCTTCATCCGCCTAAATACCAAAGTGGAATAATAATAAGATAAAGACCTGTTGAGGAGGAAATGATAAAAATCATCCAGATCACATTTCCTATTTTGCTTTTGAAATAAATAGACCACAGGATAGACAGTTTCTGAAAAATTTAAACAGCATGGTTCACAGTAGTTGATGGTGAGGACAAGTGAGTCTTCGGAATGCATTTTGGAGTAAAAGGCAGGGTGATCCAAATTAGCCTGAAGTGCACAAGCACACAGCAGAGCAAGAGGCAGAGAAAAGCAGCCAGAAAGGCAGATAAGGAAAATTGTCTCTATTCTGAGAGCAAAGGCTATAAGCCACTTTCAAACCTTTAAGGACCTTTGTATCACACTCTAAACAAAAGGGGGAGGGTGGGGGAATACAGGAGTGATAAATAAAACATACCCTCAAAAATCAATGAATAAAAATGAATTGGCACTGTGGTTGAACACTAGAGCCATTGCATTTCCTTGGTTTAAACCTTATCCACCCAGGGGATTTTGAGTAATTTGATGAAGCCATGTGTGCTTCAGAGGTTTTGTGGTCCTGGTGTAATTTCAAGTTAACAAGTTTAAGCTTTGCATTTCATGTTGCAGCATCTAGAATATTTCCTGATGTGGAGTTTTGTTTTAACCTACATTTCCATGAGCAATCTTCAGTTGCTCTACTGATGTCTCCCAAACTGTCAAAAAAAGTCTCTCTGGGGAGAGAGTATAACCTCTTCTAGGGAAAACACGACTCTGGAATATTTTGAAAAAGGGAAACACACCCTTCCCTTCGCTGTTGCGCTTAAAGCCGCAGAGCCAGTATTTCCATCTCACTATCCAATTAAGAGTCTCTTATCTTTTCTGGGAGTATATAAAATTTGATAACCCAAGTTTATAAATGTGAAGTTTGCATATGTACAAGTGAGCTTATTTTACCTTTCTCTTCACTTCCAACTTCCACATCATTTAGAAACTAGCTCTCTTGCTGAGAGGCGCTGGCTGACAAAAGCTGCTCTAAGTTGCAAGGTAGAAGACTTAAGGAGGGGCCTCCCTGCTGGCTCAGGGGTTAAAGACAGTGCTATCAAGCAACTGCCAGTCACTACAGCACTAGCTGGATCCCTGGCCTGCCATGGAGCTGATCCATATGCTGCATCAGATCTCTCCTATTTTGCCTCCTGCTGCCCTCAGCAGTGTATTTCAGTAGATCTGCCTGTTTTGCTCCCCACCCTGTCTGGTGAATCCTTTCACCCCCGCACCTCTGACCTACATCCCAGTTCTTAGAGCCCTCTAGGTTAGTTCCAGCAAGTCTAAAAAGACCTAATGAGCCATGTTCATGCAAATGTTTGTCACTAATACAAGGACAGTCCGATGACAAAAAAAAAAAAAAATCACACTAAAACATACGCAACAACATGTTAGAAATCAAAGCAGAAAGCTTATTAGTATAACATGAAGGGTCTCGTTTTGAAATAAGATGCTTTCCCATTAAGTGACTCCACCCTTCCCCATAAGGAGTCCTGTTAAAAAAAAAAAAAAAAAAAAAAACATTTCCTTCTCCTGATCTGATAAATAATGCATTGGTGATGGTGACAGGTTTGTAAAGATGGTGCTCGATGGGGGCTATGCATCTTCTTAATTCTTTCCTGTCTAATGCATGCCACGACCTTCAGCTTTGTGATTTGAACATTTGGCCTCAAATGTCAAAAGGCTTGTGCAGTGAGCCCAGCAAATTCAGCTATGTATGATTGGATTCACCACAAATTCCAAAATTAATGTGTGTTCAACAAGCAGTTATACTTCAATAACATTTCAACATGAAAGAAAAATGGAGCCAAGAATTTAAAAATTGAAATGTCATTAGCCTGCTTCTCCTTGTTATTGGCAACACTATCATTTCTGGTTAGAGGATGATGATGATTGTTTGAAATCCTCCACCCTCACCTAACTGACTAAGATACCCCTAAAGTGGAATACAACAGCTCTTATCTGCACTAAGAAACTAAAGGATGACATCCACAGGGAACCTGAATTCTTTGTGAATTAGCCTCTTTGGTAATATTCTCCCTCTCCTGATGCCGCACCCTGCAAAAATACAAGGAAAAAAAATGAGTTATTGGGCCTCCCCTGGTGGCGCAGCAGTTGAGCACTGGGATGCGAAGCTGCCCACAGCCTCTGCAGCGCTGGTTTGATCCCCAGCTGCCGGCAATGGTCCCACATGGTACGATAGACCTCTCCTGTCTCGCCCACTGCTCCCCTCAGCAGTGTATTTCGTCAGTCTGCCTGTTCTGTTCCTCGCTCTGGCTCTGGTGAATCCTCTCACCCTCCTGCGCTTCTTACTGTATGCAGTGCTTGTATAAATAAATAAATAAATAAATCTTTTAAAAAATGAGTTATTAATGTATGAGCCAATTGTTTTGCTTGAGATAACCTCATGGATCTTCTTAAATGTTTTTCTTGTACATGTTTGGAAGTGGAGGTGAAAGGATGTGGGAAGGGCATCACAGAAAATAGAGACAACAGAGGAGAAAAATGTTTATATTCATTTAATGGAAATGTTACTATTTGTATAAGAATTAGTTAGAAAGTTCAATGAAATCTGAGGCAGGCATAAGTCACATTGGCTTTAAGGACTATGGGTACTGTTTTATTCCACTGGTTTCTTTTGGAGCACCTCTCTGACCTGGGTATGCACTAACCATTTCCAGTATCCCTGTTGGTATACCTGTTCTCATCCATGTGGAAATGTATGGCCATTTAAGAACAGCTTCTTGGTTTTCCTTAGTGGCATAAGTGAAGGCTTTTCATGCCAGCCTTCTTATTTGTTTTCCTTTATATGCTATTAATTAAAGATTCCAAGTTGAAGTAAAGGGAGACTGATTCCCATGGCCAATAGGTCATTGCTGGTGGCCTTGGGAAATGGTGGGACCACTCAACTACCAATCACGGTGAGCTCTCAGCAGCAAGCAACTGACAGGGTCAATAACCACCATTAGCAGTGCTTCTCTGTGGAACATATCCTGATGATTATTTGTGCTAAATTACAGAACTCATTTCTGGATTTATTATAATATCAGGGAAAAGGTATTGGTAGCCATTTCTGGGCCAGAAAAGATATTTTCCCCAAGAGGGCAATGAGTTTCTTCCTCTTTACACAAGGAGGTAGCCCTGGACAATCTCCACAGCCCTGTGTTAATAGTATATTCAGCAGGAGAGGGAATGCACCTTCAGGCACATTGTTAAGGTGGTAGAGTTGGTGGCTATGCTCTTCTGTGACCACCATAAGGTTCCAAGCTCCATGCATTAAAGAGCTAGTTGATCAACTAAGAACACTTCAAAAGGACTTTAGAGGATGTTCCAAGCTTTAATGCCAATTTGAATATTGGGAAAAAAATCACTTGCCAACCTTTCATGAGATATTTGGATCACCTGGGTCTATGTAGAAATTCTAAGGACATAGTGTTATTTTAATAACTCCTTCATTCAAAAATAATTATGGAGCTGGTTCTGTGCATACACTGGGTAAGTATGGGAATAAGAGAATAAATAAGATCCAATCATTGTCCTAGGTCAATTCTTCCCATTGGGTTCCTAAATGATTCAGGTGGTAGGGGTAAAAGCCCTGGAAACTTATTAAAACAGCAGAGTACTGCCCACAGACACATCCTTTCTCCATGGATTGGGGCAGTGGAAACCATTTCAATCCTCTTCTATCTCACTCACTTAGAATTCAGCTCCATATGCCACCTGTTCCATAGTACCCAAATCAAAGGTGTGAGGATAATACAAATAATCTTGACAGACTCATTTAAAATGGGGGATATTTGAAGGGATCATGCTCAGCGAAATAAGCCAGAAAGAAAAAGAAAAATACCGGATGGTCTCACTCATAGCAGGAATCTAGAAAACTTAAATAAGGGAACAGGAAAAAGAATAACTATAAGAAAGAAAATGTCAAAATCAACAAACAACTATGAACAAGAGACACTCTATGGAGGGTGGGGGGACAGGGAAAGGAGGGCTTGGGGTCAAAATAAGGGGGTGTAATTGTATGGGGAATATAAAAATAAAATTTAAAATAAATAAAATAAAATAAAATGGGGGATATTTGGATTTATCCATATGTAAGAAAAAGAAACAAAGCAAAAAACAAACAAAACTAAGCCCTTAAACACTGATGACAGAATGGAGGTTACTGGTAGGTAAGGAGATGGGAGCAGGCAAAACAGATAAAGGAGGGCAATTCAATGATGGTGGATGGAAACTAATAGTGGTTGGTGGACATAATGTAATATATGCAAATATTAAAATACAGGGAATAACTGAAAAATAAAATAAAAAATGAACAAAGGGGAATATTTGGTTCTGTTATAAAGGACCTGGAGTTGTCAGCACCTTTCTAAACTATAAAGACATAAACAAATTTGTTGCTTTGATGATGATAAATGGCATAAGATCATCAGTGGTTGTAGACATGTCTTTGGCACTATCATACTGTTGAGACAGCAAAGCAAAGATTATAAAGGAAGAAAGTGGTCCAAGCTTGACATTTACCAGTCCATAAACTGGGAAGTCCTGTAGTCTGAGGCTTGAAGAAACCTGAACCATTATGAAACAATAGAATCTGTCCAATTATATCTGCAATCAGGAAGAGTCACTTGATCAAAGTAATTTAATAAAAGCAAATGACATGAAAATAAAAAGGAGGAAAATTAACAACTTTCTACAGGCCATTTTATATAGACTATACAACTGAATCTTCAGAGCAACCCTAATTGGGTAGACATTAGTATCCCCTTAACAGAGGATGCAGTGAGGCCCAGTTGGAGGCAATAAGCAAATTTGCTAAAGGACATATATTAAAAACATGATGAACCAAAACCCAAAACATTGTCTAAATGACTCATAAGTAAAATAGAGAGGCATATCACTCATTGCATAAATGACAGCTAAGAAGAAAGTTAAAAGTGAGGTACATGTTTAGAGGATGTGATCTTTTAATTCCACAGAGAGTGATCCAATACCCATCCCATAAATCAGTTTTTCCCATTGTCCTTTTTTCTAACCAACCAGAGAATACTACTAAAGAGAGCAGCATTGAGGGCCAGATTTCTAAGTAATGAAGTGAGGTGCTATTGGATTTAACAACTCTTGGCTGCTAACAAATATTCTGACATATAAGGTCAATCACGTCAATAACTCTTTCTCCCATAGCCCATTGTGGTCAGGCTGGTCCTGTCTCATCTAACTTTTAAGCAACGTGATGCTGTTACAAGCCACGCTGAAATGAATACTGTGAGAGCACTGTTCATTTGTTTTTAGTGCTTTCAGGACACACTGCTGAATTTCAGGTAGAGTGAAGTGCTGCAACTGAATGCCAAGCTGCTTAGGCATCCATGAACAGGAGCTAATTTTGCCGAAACCCACTTAACTATTGTCACTTCTTAGATCCTCAAAAGTGGATCATAGTGGGGTGCCCCCTTAACCAGCAACATTAGCAACATCCAGAAATGCAAATTCTAGGCTCCAAAACAAACCTACAGATACAGAAATTCTGGGAATGAGACCCAACAATCTATTTTCACTAGGCCTCCAGTTAATTCTGCTACACACTCAAGTTTGAGAATCGCTGGCCAAAAGAGAGCCGTAGCCTAGTAACCCAGCCTCTAAGGATTAGGGGAGGAAGCTTCAGTTCCATTGAATTCCAGTGCTACCTAATATTCTAATGACAATCTTTCCAGGGAGTGGAATTAAAAATATGCTTGCCTCTTTTGATAAATGGATTCTCTTCCTTAAAATAAAAAGTCTAAGTATCTGAATTATGCAGGCCATTAGGCTTACCTTAAACTGCTAGGAAGCACAGTCTCTAAATACCAGGCTGTTTTGTGTATTTATTTCTCAACTGCCACCCTTTTCTTTGTTCTAGATATTAGAAAACTCATTTATACTTTATAATCTTTATTTTATAAAAGAAAATTATGGTTCGAGAGTACAAACATTTACCTCCACTCTAAAAGTATCATTACTTTATATCTTAAAGGAGGTTGAAACAAATGCCAGAAAAGGTGGTGGCAGGGTACCTTCTATCAATATATTAATTTTCACTGCGGCAAATCTAAAGTCTCTAGAGACCATAAAAATTAGCCTCTGCTATAGTCGAATCTCTGGGAACAGGAAGTAAGCCTGATTTATGAAAGTGCTCTATAAAGCCTTCACAAATGGAAATGCATGCACTGCTTTTGGGCAGATCGGGAGGGCAGAGAGCTCTTCCTGGGTTTGTTTTTCTAATTGCCTCCAGCTCAAAATAATATCTAGGTCAAAGTGGCAAATACTGGGGTGGTATGCTTTGATCCCCTTCCTGAATCTCTGAGTTAGGGGTAAAGAATGCCTCTTCTTGCTGGCTTGCTTCTACTGTGGGTGACCCCTTTTAAGATCAGGAGCCGCACTGACCATCCAGGCTGGGAGGGTTGCAGTAGTCATGGCTACAGGTTATCTTTCCCTCTCCACTGCTATTTTAGATAACATGAAGAAACTGAGGCAGAAGAGGGAATGTTGGGAGCTTGCAGATCAAAAGTAAAAAATCCAGGACTTCAAGATTCAGGTATAATGAGCAATTACAACATGCTACAAAATTAAAAAGAACCATGTTCAGTTCATTCTTTTATTCTTTCTTCTAATGCTCTGATTCTTTATTATTCTGTCATTAGGAGAAATGGGGGTGGGGGCCACCGGGATAAATCGATGGCTTAGAAAAAACAAAGCCAGCCCCTTCTACTGTATGTAGGCAGAAGGTTAATTTTATACTCCAGCTAAAGGAAGATGAGGAAAGTCCTGGTAGGCAGGAGAGTGGGTGGGTGGCAGATGTCTTGTTCTGCCTTTTAGAAACACACATTTGAAAGTGGAGTCCTGAATATGCTACCCCCTTGAGATGCAAAGCAGTGAAGAGACCTGCTAGGAGGGAATATAGACAAAAAAAGAACTAGGCCAAACAGCAATTAGGAGAAAAAATTAACTGAAAGAATGCCAGAGGACTTTATCTTCTCTTTTCTCTGTTCCCCTGATAGACATTTAAAACTAAATGCTAAAGAAACAGAATTATTCCTTTATTTGATTTGCTCTTCTCTAAACTGTGTTTAGGACTCTGCAGGCAAGGAGGCTCTCAAAGGCTAATCATTTAGATTGGTGTGACCAGAGATTGCTTCAACTTTGATCTTTCATAGGCAGCGCCACACTCTTTCACGTTAACCTTGCCAATGTTTTCTATTCCCTTTAACACAGCTATTTTCTAGGGCCCTCAAAATATAATACATCAGCTTCATAAGTCTTCAATCTCCATGTTGATGGAGATGGTGCACAGAGGAGTGCCTCTGTGAATGATTAAATCAGAACCCTAGAATTTCAGGATGATAACACACTGTTTTCCATGCTAGAAATGCTATGGGATACAGAAAGAGAAATTCAAATCTAAAAATGTGACTTCATCTTTATGCCATTCATTTGAGGTCAGTAATTAAATAGATTTCCTCACTCTCCAATGAAGACATCCGGCATTCAGAAAAGAGGCTGTGGGTATTGGACTGATTTTGCATAAGTGTGAGAGCCAGAAGCCCGCAGGACAAATGCATTATTTAATTTTCCACTATCACACACTAAACAGCTTTTTTTAGACTCTAGGCATCAATTTGTTCCAATACTAAAGGCCCCAGTGGTAAAAAGATATGAAAATATTCAAAGTAAACTAATGCCTCTGAAACTCTTGGATCAGAATACTAATGCCTCCATCTGAAGAGGCCATAAGTCTGTTATCTTTCCATTAGAAACCTTTCACATATGTCCATTTGGACAATAAATACCTGCAGCTCATGGAACGGTAGTCAGTAATATCCATTTATTTTTCCATGTAATGCCCTTCTTTGTAGCATGTCTCATGCAAATTCATCAGCAACCCTGTTTTTATGCTTTAAATCCTAAAGAAATCAAAGAAAGCTTCTACTACTACATTTCATTCTAGCTAACTTTGGGTGGTAACTAAGAGAACATCATGTAATTAGGAGCTTGATAACATTTCCTAATGAAGGAAATGAGAATTCTCTTTTCTTCTCTCTCTCTCTCTCTCACACACACACACACACACACAGCAATTAAGTTAACAAATCTGTATGGTGCACTTGTGACTCACAACATCGATTCCCAAACTAATTCACTGAATGTTTACTAAGCAGTGGCTATGTGATGTGCCAGGCACTGAGCTCTGCACTTTGCATTGAATAGGTCCTACCTTGTCCATAAACAGCTCACCGTATAGGGAGAAGTCATTTATATAACTCCTTAATTAAACAAATGTGTTCAATTACTGTTCGTTGTTTGAGAATGAGGAATGAGGGAATGGGGTTCACAGGCAGTGTTAGGGGCTTTACAAAAGAAAAATCCCCAGTAGAACATGCCTTTCCCTCCCTTATCAAAGAACTTTCAATTTCTTCTCCCAACATGACAATGTGCAGGAAAAGCAGGGGTTTGAAGAATTCAACTACCAAACTACCAGAGAGCCCAAAGTCACCAAACCCTCAGTGACAGAGCTAGAGACTTTCAGCATCAAGTACAGACTAAAATCTAACTCTAAGGACAAGGGAAGAAAGAAGCATCATCAGCAGGGATAGGCACTTTGGAACATGCAAATAAGAATACAGAGACCAGAGTCACAACACAGCACAGTGATTAAGAGTGTGAGAAGATGAAAACTCCACAACATTTCTTTGGAGCTGGAATCTTAGCACAACCACCCATGTGACTTTGAGCAAGTCATCTTCCCTCTATATACCTCTGTTTCTTCATTTATAAAGTGGAGATGATCATGCCAACCACTCTGGACCATGTAAAGTTTAGAAGCCTTGAAACATATAAAGTTTTTGGTTTGTTTTGTTTTGGGTTTTTTGTGTTTTTAAATTTTTTTTATTTTATATATTTTTACATCATTTTTCATTTTTGCACAATGTATGCATTTTCATCTTGGTTATAGTCTTCATACAATTCCCACCTTTGTTTTGATACTACTCCTGTCCGCCCCCTGCTCTGCCTCCCCACCATAGTGTGTCTCTGGTTTATAGTTGCTTATTTTGATTTTTACTTTATTATAATTAGTCTTTTTACTGGTCCCTTCTTTAGGTTTTCTAAATTCCTGCCATGAGTGAGACCATCCAGTATTTTTATTTTTCTTTCTGGCTTATTTCGCTGAGCAGGATCCCATCCAACTCCATCCATATTGCTGCAAATTGCATGAGTTTATCTTTTTTGATTGCTGAGTAATATTCCATTGTGTATATGTACCACATCTTCTTGATCCAGTCATCAATTTTTGGGCATTTGGGTTGTTTCCATACCTTAGCTATTGTAAATAGTACTGCTATAAGCATAGGGGTGCATGTGCCCTTTTGAATTAATGTTTCTGTGTCCTTTGGGTCAATACCTAGGAGTGGAATTGCTGGATCATATGGAAGCCCCATCTTTAGCAGATTGAGGAATCTCCACACAGCTCTCCATAGTGGTTGGACCAGTTTGCACTCCCACCAGCAGTGCAGGAGAGTTCCTCCTATAAGGGTTTTTAACTCATCCCTGATACCTAGAAATTTTATAGGTAAAGTTTTGCTAATCAATGAACTATTATTTATTTTATTGTGGTAATACTGGTTTACAGCATTGTTTGTATTTCAGAGGTATAGGATCTCCCCTGTTAGGTGTTGTTACCATACCTTAACAGCCACCCAAATATCCATAGTCCACCATCATCATCCATTGGGCCCCCGTCCTTCTTTCCACCGCCCCCTCTCTGGTAACCTCAGTTGTACAGCCAAGTTTCTAGTGTTTGTTGCTAATTTGTCTTTATTTGATTCTTTGTTTTGTTTCTCTGTATTCCACACATAAGGACACCACCCAGTGTTTGTCTTTCTCCTTCTGACTTATTTCACTTAACATAATCCCCTCCAGTAATATCCATATTGTTGTGCAAAGCAAGGGTTATATTTTTTAATAGCTGAGTAATAATCCATTGTGTATCTATACCACATTTTCCCAATTCACATGTGGTTTTGGGTACTTAGGTTGTTTCTGGAGTTGGCATTGTAAATAGTGTTGAAACGAACATAGGAGTATTTAAATGAACTACTTATATTTACTTATATATCTAGGTTAGAAAGATTATTATTAGTATCTTCTGAGAAAAACAGAGATTGCTTTCAGAAACTGCTGTAGTTAATCTTCATTTGGTTTTAAGTATATTGTATAAAATATAAATGGCTCTCCCTTGAGAATGTAGATAATAATAGTACTTGAGCTATACTATAAAATGTCAGGAGAATTGATAGTTGATCATTAGACATAATCAGAAGCATTTTTGCCTTCCTAAGTTCTAAGTTAAAGAACCAATGTGGATATTATTATAGATACTAATACTATGAATAAATAAATGATTCTGGCACCCAGGACAAGAAAACCCAACTAAATTCATGATTGACTATCTTACTGGGGAATATTTGCTATACTGGTGGAAGATTGTACTAATATACTCTGGGCAAAGCCCAGGATATATAAACTAATAGACACTGGAGTGACAAGGATAGAATTTTAGTGAGTCATAGAATGTGAATTAGCATGCATTTTGTCAATCCAGATTTATTCAGCACTTATATACAACTTACTATATAAAAAACAGGTTACATTTGCATTTTCTGTCCTTAAGGAGCCTAAAATTTAGCTGAGATATCATATCTACTATACTAGAATCTTAACAAAAATGGGTCAAGAAATAGTTCCAGAATAACACAAATTGAAATCTGCACAATAATATTTCATAGAAAGAAATCATTAAGGGTTCAAACAATTCAAAAGGTTTTAAGGAGGAGGAAGATAAATGAAAACTGATTTTTGAAAGAGAGCAATGTATTGAATACTTGCAAGGAAGGGATAAGTCAAGATGATAGATCAACACTGCAGGCAAAAAGGCCAAAGCCTATAATGACAACACATAGCAGTGATTGTTCTTATAATGCAGAGAGGACTTTGATGGGACTAAACAAATATACTAAACAACCTACTAAGTACAAGCACTAGACCATATGTCAGAGGTGGTAGACTGGAAGAGAGGGTATGATGATCTCTCATGGAGCTTTTGATGCAATGAGATGGGAAAATAATGATACCATGATGATGTAAAGTTAAATTACATAAGTAAACTCTTAGTTCCACACTGTATAACATAAAAGCTCCCACAAAATGTCTATTTTCATATAGTTTTGGGACAAATGGGTGATCAGTAAATATTTATTTAATGAAGGAATATCAACAAGATATAAAATATTCTGGATATGAGAGAAGAGACCAATAGAGTGGAGAGGTTGACTGCTGGGAAGTACTTCATGAATGAATGGCCATCTTCACTGAGTCATGGACAATGGACAGAATATCAATGGCTGGACAGAGTGGAAAAGCAGTGTGCTAGGCCAGAGAAAAGTGTGGAAAAAAACAGGGGCTTGGGGTTGTGGGGTGGGAAGAACATGGAGCTTCATACAGGAATGGTGAATAATTAAATATAGATGGCACCGCCTTGGAAAGATGAAAACTAACTCTCCATGTTAACTTACACTAAATGCTGGGAGTATCCAGGCACAGATTACTGAAGTCCACCTGCAGATATGATGATGAGAAAGGGGCAGGCTGCACCATGAATCTACAGAACCCCAAGTTATCTGTCCTTAAGCAAATGACTCAACCTTGCTGAATGTTACATTTTCATATATAAAGTGGAATTTGTTCATTCCGTAAGCATTTTGTAGGTATTTACTGATAATCATTTATTCTAAGTGTGTATGTCCACTACACACTTCACTCTTACACTTCTTTGCCATGTGACTTTAGTCAACTTACTTTATCTCTGTGCCATTGTGACAAACAACCATATCTACTTCATAGAATTTTCATAAAAGTTAAATAAACTACTACATTTTGAGTACCTAGAACTATCTGGCGGACACAAAGTAAACATACCATAATGTTCATTTTTATCCCTGAGGATAATGATCATGATCTTGGTGAAGGGGAAACTGGTGGTGATGACAGTCACTTTGTAGGTGTTACAAATCCCTGTCCATAATACCCTGGGTCTTTAAGTAAAGATAAAAGAGGTCCATGCTTATAAAACTGTTAAAAAGTACACAAACATTAGACCCCAATTACTCTAAAGTAAATCTTGCAGGCATTTAAAATTCTGCCAGGACAAAGCAATCTAACCAAAATAGACCATTACATGCCCTGTCTTGGGCACAAAGGCATAAGATATGGAGAATAATGGGCCTCCCCTGGTGGTGCAGCTGTTGAGCGCCTGGACTGCAAAGCTGCCCACAGACTCTGCAGCGCTGGTTTGATCCCTGGCCACCGGCGAGGATCCCACATGGCGTGCAGACCTCTCCTGCTGTGCCCACTGCTCCCCTCAGCAGTGTACTTCATAGGTCTGCCTGTTCTGTTCCCCGCTCTGGCTCTGGTGAATTCTCTCACCCTCCCGTGCTTCTGACTGTACCCAGTGCTTGTATAAATAAATAAATAAATAAATCTTTAAAAAAAAAAAAAGATATGGAGAACAAGTTGGGATTCCTCTGTAAGTTAAAATATTTTTAGAAATAACAGCAACAAATACCACACTTCACCATTTACAAAGTTAGGGTATAGAGAAAAGAAATCTTCAATGTAAAGGCAGGAAATTACTGAGATTTAGAGAGGTCTAACAAGGTACCTTTATTCAGCCAAAATGTATTGAAAGAAGCCATTTATTTTACTAGTCACTTTTAAAGAATTAAAAAGAATATAATGGCAGGACAATTGATAATATGTGGTTAATGAAACTACTATTTTTTGGTGTTTATTTTTGTTAGTTTTTAAAAATTAGATCTTCTATATTAATATCAATTTTAAACATTCTATTCTGGCTAAATAAATGTAAAGACCAAATTCATAAAGTAAGTGAATGTTTATAAAATTTTGAGTTGTAGATTGCTTACAGTGTAAAGACAACGTAATATGGCATTAAAATTACCTTTCATCAAAAAAACTCAATAATGTGAAAACTAAAAAAATACAGGCAACCTCACATACAAGTAAAATTTCTGCATATTAAAAATGTATAATCCTTTAAAATAGTATGTCAGAATTGTCAATAACAGAAAATCATGTTCACAAGCTACAAAGTGAATTCAAGCCAATTATAAAATTGTGATCACAATAATTATTATAAAATAAATCACCAAGTATTTAGTCTCTACATTTTTATGCACTCCCCAAATTTTCTAAACTAGCTTTTGATTATGCATTAAAAATACTATAGATAGGGGCCTCCCCGGTGACGCAAGTGATTAAGGAGCAACCGATCAAGCTGTCTGCAGCCTCTACAGCACAAGTTTGATCCTCGGCCCACCAGGGAGCAACCCACGTGGCACAGCAGACCTCTCCTGACTGGCCCACTGCTCCCCTCAGCAGTGTACTTAGGTCAATCTGCCTGTTCTGTTCCCCACTCTGTCTCTGGTGAATCCTCTCTCACCCCCACACACACCTCTGGCCTGTATCCCAACTCTTGTATGCATAAATAAATAAATCTTTTAAAAATGCTATAGATATATTAAGGCTTCGTTTTAAGACAACGTCAAAAATTAAATGTAGAGATCAAAGAGTTAAATACCCTTAGAGAAGGCAAATGGTAGAGTGCAATGAATTCACCCACTGGGCTAACTGTATGCCAATCCAAAGGGTTTCTGATTCAGCAAGCT